CAGATGATGACTTTCTGATTCTGAAAACGGATTATGAAGACGGATAGACTCTGTAATTTTCTAATTGGTTTTTATAGACTTCAAATTGACTTTTCATTCAATCTCGATATCTTTTTATATTTCATTCAATCCTTTAGAGAAAATCTCGTCTATCCTTAATTAACTTTTTCCTTTATCCAATAGAATTTTTGATGGAATATTTTATTTGATAGCATGAAGTTATGATTTGTAGCTGAGTTGGTTGTTAATTGTGATCACATTGGTCTTGTGAGGTTTTCACTTTTTTTTGATGTTATGTCTCTTAGTTTTGGAACAATGTCAAACATTTACGAAAATATGCCTATTGATTGTTATCATATCTAAAATTAAGCGCTTACTCTTATATTTCCAATTAGATACACAACTTTCTTAAAGAATTTTATTTTCTTCTCATTCTCCGGTTTCTTTACTATCGACATTCCATGCTGTTTTATATAGATACTAACAGATAAATGATATTCTCATAGGATTTAGTTCATAAGAAAATAGAAGTGAATTTAATTGAATTTCATGACGATGATGACGACAATAATGTTGATAAAAGAAGCAAAAAGCTGGAATCTTAAGAATGCAAATAATTGGCTCATTTAAATATTTCTTTCGTAATTTTCAAGAAACAACAAGGAAAAAAAAAACTTTTCTTCTTTACATTCAAAACGAATTCAAATCGAATTGAGGAAGTAAAAGTTTGGAATTTTTTTTACTTTGAATGAGATGGGATAGAAGAAAAGTTGGAATTTATCGACTTAAGTAGATGAAGTTTCTGAATTTCGAAGCTGTTTTGATTTCAATAAAAATTTATGGTTCGAATTCATTGACTGTGAAATATTGGAATCTGATGTTTGGGCTTTAAAATCTTTAATCTAAAAAATCTTTCCTATCGATCATAAAATGTGCATGTGTGTTTTTTTGGAATTTACAAGATTTGCAAGATAAGATATCCAATCAAGATTTTTAACTTCAAGGAATTTGTGAAAGTTTAATTATTTGATTCAACCTAATTAGCTTGAGATTTAATGCATAGAAGTTTTTATAACATTTTTTCATCAACTTGCGATTTGTAAATAAGAAAATCACTCTCTCACCCGAGAAAATTAAGGCATAAGAACAAAGAAACACAAAAAGAGAAAATCTTAAAAAACGACAAAAAAAAAGCATTCATAATAAATAATTTCGAATGGGACTCTTAAGAGAGTGTGGATAAGACAAAAACATGAAAAACAAAAACGGAATCAGAAAGAAAAAGAAAATTTGATGATGATGAGAAAGGAAAAGTCTTCGTATTTCCTAAGGATTTAAATTATAATTTTTCTGTCTTTTTTTCATTCGTTTTCTCACGCAGCAGTAAGCACGAGGTCAAAGAGAGAAAAAAATTTCAAGGTTTGGGAACTTTAAAGCTTCAAAATTAAATTTTAATCATTAAAATGAAAAGTTAAATTTAAGTCTTATTACTAAAAGGAAAAACTGATTTAATATTCATGCTGTTACTTACACAACACAAAAACTGTTGAATCTGATAAAAAACAACCTTTTGCTGAATCAGCGTTGTTATTAAAATTTTTGCACCCTCCTGAGTTGTTTTTCATCATCAACAGATGATTGAATATAATTTATTATTCCTTATTTGGTTATGTAATGTAATGCAGGATGAGGAGCATAAGAAAAACCACAGAATAGTTACTATGGCTAAGTTGTAGATGGCTTCTTTTAGTGATTGCATAATACATTCATTTCTGGTAACTGGAAATCGAGCTTCTTACCCTTAACAGTAGAACTTTTATTGTTATAAAATTACATTTTTCAGGACTTTTCCAACTTTAAACATTCACAAGCATCGTTAAATTATCAAGAAAAAGCAGAAATAAGCAGAATATTTTCCATGACAGGAGAGACTTTTCTCTCGCTTAGTAATGCAGAGATGAAAAAATATCTTTGTAACTCAAATAAATTTACATATTTCTCGCTCATAATCAATCTATTACATATAAGATTACAGACAAAAAAAAGTTTTTATCAGTTCGCATCCTTTCTCGTCTGAAATTTCCAATTTAAAACTTAATATAAAATCTGCTGTAAAAATTGCTATACAAAAGTTTTACAATTGCGCATTGAGTCCTTAACTCCGAACAGCTTTGTCACCTAATTTTGGACTTAAAAAAAAAGAAACGAATGAGAAGATGAGTAAACGCTTTATTTGAGTTATTCTGACAAATTGCAAGTGCTTAAGATATTCATCAAAAGCATAAGTTTATAATAACTAATTACTTGCCTCCTTCTTTTTACATACAAATGTTTTCTCCAAGTTACCTTTTATTCTCTTTCAAATAATAAGCATCTCATCATAATAATGTACATTACATTATGAACGTATCGTCATAAAAAAAGTCTACACTAATCTTAACTCATTCCATCCACTTATGGATGGCTTTTGTGTTGAAGAAATGGATTTCAAAAAGAGTATTACATACTATATTATACAGCTTGGAGCTATTGCGGAATCAGACTATATTGTATATTGTTATCAGCGCTATTCAATCGAAATTTCATCGATTTTTTTTTCATGCAATTCTCGTCCTCAGTTTTTCATTTATTATTTATTTATTATTTTTATAAACATGAATGGGCGTGAATTATGTGCACACATTTATCAAAATGCTACACTGAAAGGAGTGAGAAAAAGAAAATAAGGAATGAATAATGACAATATATGTAAACGACATTACAACTAATCATCATTTTTGTTTCTTTATTGCCTTTGCTCAAGTAAATGAGTAAGCATTTGGAAGCTTTATGAGTTGGGTAAGCAAAGTGGGTATTAAGTCAGTAGAAAAGCTTTGAAAATATAGAATCTCTTTTTTGGAAATTTTATAAACAGATCATTGAAATACAAACGTATTTTAAAGAAGCAGCTAAAATAAATACGCAAAAATGAGCAGTAAATACAATAAAGCTGAAAAATTATGCTTAATATTAAATAAAACAGAAATAATTTCAATAAAACATTCAACAGTTATTGCGTGTGCCGCTTTTGAAGACGCTACAGGTGTGTGATTAAACTCTAGTTCTTTAATTTTGGCACATTTCCAACTGGAAGCTTTTATTCTTTCTCCTCCTTTTTTTCATTTTGATTTGAGGCAAATTTTTCTTTCTCGTGTTGAATGCTGAATGGAATAAAAATGAAAGCTATATGCTTTTACATCCGGCAATTTAAAGTTCATTGAGGAAGTATATAAGTTGTACTTTTTAAAGTTCTGTCGGTTTTCATGCATGTACAGAAGCAATTAATAATAATTACATTTATTATGTTTATTTAAAACTTAAAATCCGCATCAAACGAGCGTGTTGAACGCACTTTGATGGTTAATTGAATAAATAGGTTGAAAAATGATGCAAATTTGTGTACTTTTGAGGCACATTTCGCCTCCCTTGAGGCATATAAACAATTTTCCATTATCTCTCATTCCACATGATTCGATTTTTTTATTAGCTTTATTTTTTTTGTTCTTCCTGCTGGCAATCATCGACTGACAACTGCTCAATAAAATTCAATAAAAAAAATTCTATAGAACTCAAATGCTATTCAAATATTTTTTACATAGAAAATAAAAATCAGGACTGTATGCTTGTTTTGGCTGTAGTTTTGAATAATTTATGTTGTAATGGTTCAAAAATTTCAAACTTACAGAATTAAGTACTAATGAAACATTTACATTCGTCAAAAATGGAATACTCATACAATCAACCTGTTGACTCTTTTGGTTATAAGTAAATTTGCTTTTAAAAAAATATTAAAGTCCAAAAAATATAAATATATTCATCCTCTATAAAGATGACGTGTCATAGAAAAATACAGAGAAAATATATTTTGAGGGTATTTAGCAATTACCACAGAGAAATATCAATTTTTGTTTGATACTGTCGAGCATAAAAAGTAATGTAAATAAACTTTTTCATCTCTCAGATATTCAGCTCAAATATAAATCGCCGCTAGAAAGACAAACTTGAGGGATTAAATGAAAGGCAATGGAAATAGATAGATGGCATCGCAGTTTTGATTTTGTTTAAGGATTATGGATATATTTCAAAAATATGAATTTTTCGACTTTTGGAGGTTTAAAAGCTTTGTCAGTTCTTCTGTTTAGATTCGGCTCGCTTTGTCACTAGACTTTTCTTCCATTTCAGTACCCTCTAATTATTCACTGAACCTTGTTGAATTATTTTTGCATTAAAGTTTTTCATCAAATTCATTTGGCTTCTACATTCTCTTTCTTCTTCCCAAAAAAAACCCCCAAACTCTAAGAGCTCATTTTCATTCCGAAAATATCCTCAAGAAATAATGCAAAAAAGAAGCCAAATGAGCTTCTAAGATGAATCTAAAAAGAAGTTATTGACAAAAATGTTGTTATTATCACCACAGAAATAACGATGTTGATTTGTTTTTAGGATTTCTTCAAAAAAATAAGAAAAATGAGGAGAAACACTGAGAATTGAACACTGTCCTCACAAATCATCTATAATTAACACTCCATAGCAGTGTCATCCAAACTTTTTTGGTTGGCGACACACCTTGATGCCAAGCCATGATTGAAACCGATTTTCCAAATTTTTTGCGACACATAGTTCGAAATTCACTGCTCTATAGATTCAAAAGATCTAATCCCCAAGTACCACGTCAAAGAGAGTTTTCTTGTCGAATTTTCTTTGACTCCAAAAGCAATTTATATTTATCATGTTCTGGTACTGTGTCAAAAATGAGAAAATTTCTTATTTAAATTCTTTCAAATTCTTTGAAGTTCACAAAAAGTCGAATATTTTACAGCGTTGGTGTTAAATATGAATAATTTAATAGATTCTTGACGTAGTTCTTGTTTCATTCATCTTAAAATTTTTGGGTTTGAATTTTAAACATCAATCAATTTTTGGTGTATTCAATATTATTTTTGCTTACAACCGACATCTGACACGTCTGCATCAAAACTCAAAAATTTAAATTACTCCCTTCATTCCAATTCTACTCAATCATGTAAAATTACATTACAACAAATTAACGCAATTTTTCCAAAACATTTGAAATTTGATTTTTTTTCTGCTCATTTCATCTCTCTTCAAGCGTATACGAATAAAAAGAAATTTTCAGCATATAAAACTTTGAGCGTGTGTTTATTTTTTCATTTTCTTTACTTCTTTTATATTTTCATTTGTTTTTCAATTTTTATTTATGTAATCTTGAAATAAGAAAACAGAAGGAAGAACATTCTTTCTACTTCTCAAATGAATATGGATGATTGTAAGCTTCTATATTTTTTCTTTCGGAAGGAAGTGCGGTTGGTGTGAAACGAAAAGTTATTTAAATAAATAAATTACAAAATTCCTCGTGTTATTGATCGAAAAACTTAAGCGCATTTTTGATGCAGCGAACAGAATTCAACAGGATTTGTCATTTAACCTTTTTCTTTGATTTTTCTTGAATATAAAAGAATTTTTCATTTAACGGTTTTTTGAGTTTCAAATATTTTTACGGTAGAAAAAGATTCAAATTTCTTAAAAGTAATTTCAAGGGTTTGTTTTGCTCGCAAATCATTTTTGTCTTTATTAATTAATTTCATCTATAATTGGTGTCCAAAGAAAGTTAGTGTTATCATTAATTTAACATATTATAGAATAAACAGTAAGTATCGAGCATTTAAAAAGATGTTTAACAAGTAAATGTTGAAATGTATACAGAATCCTTATTCTTCTAGCTATCATCTAAATCTATCATAAAAATTACAGAAGTCCTCGTGTTTTTGATCGAGGGACTTAAGCGCATTTTTGTGTTAGCGATCAGTATTTGATTGTCTATTTATTTTGCGTTCATTTACAGATCATTAGAAGATTAGAAGATCATATTATATAGAAAAGCTTTATTATTTAACGGTCAATAAATAATTTGAAATTTATTCGCTAAAAGTTGCACTTCAAAAACAATATCTATAGTATAATTAATAATTTGTAGAAATGAATTTCCATAAAGAAAAAGTTTATCATTTAACGGTTTTCTGAAGTTCAAATTTTGTGACGGTCGTATGCATTTGAAAGTATCTTGCCAAAAGTTACAGTAATTCAACGACTTCCAAAGACTTTTAAATGCGTTTCCCGAAAATAAAACAATGGAGCTGAGCTAATAAAACAAACTAGAACTCTCTACGATGTCTAGTTAAAAAGTTTTTCTCCGCCCGAACGAACAAACATAGTGAGATATTAAGCTACCTTTTCGAAACAGGTTTCAAAAATGCGCTAAAAAGGCTTTTTGACTTTAATCCTTTTCCAATGCTAGCAAACAGAAATTTTTGAGTTCTTATTATTCGAATTTTTGAGGTTCTTATTTTTCGAAAATCGAATCTTGGAAGTTCTTATTTAAAAAAATTCGTTGTGAATTGTTATTTTTCGAGTAATTTGTAATTTTAGTGAACATTCATACTAGTTTTTATGATTAAGATAATCACTGTGATGAATTGCATTCCTTAAATGTTTATGCTTTAAAAAACAGCTAGTTTAAAAAAAAATAAAAAGTAACGGACTTTCTTATTTTGAAATTTTAACAAAATACCGCGCGAAAATTTTGAATTTTTTTTTGTTTGTAACGGACTCTGTTCTCTTTGCTAACATTGGATCCTTTTTTATTCTTCCTGTTTGTATGTGTAGTCTGATTTATAAAATATAATCTAGCTTCGTGCCTAGATGTCAAATTAATTTACACTATCGTCACTTGTTATTTTTGCTTTAATAATTTAATGCATGTGGATATCAGGTTCACAAGCATGAAAAAAAATTGTCTTTATATCAAATTTCAATTATATTGCTATAAATTTGGTAGCGTAAAATGTGATTTAAAGCATCCTACACAGCAACGACTTTTTATTTTCGTAAATGTTTCTAATAATAACACATATCGAAAGCACTGAAGTAATCCTCTCATTCAAGTTTTTTTTTGTCCTGACTGTGGAGATGAATGATTGGATTGTCATTCAATGAATCTATTTGTGTCAAAGTAAATGAATCAGGTGTATCCATTCATATTGTCTAATTCGTACTCTACGATACATTTTGTCATAGGATTTCTTTTTGTGTTGGTTTAAAAGAAATTTTTAAATTTTTTTTAACCATTGAGTTTCACCGTAAATGTGAGTTTTATTTTAGTATCAGATTTGATATGAATTTACTGGAAAAAACTCTTATTTTTTATTACTGTGACTTAAAAATCAATAATTGTAGAAATGACGAAACGTTTGCTGTTAATAAGCATTAAGACAAAATCAACTCAAACCACAAAGTCTAATCAGTATATAGATAGAAACCACAAGTACTTATTATTCAGCCATGAAATGTCTAAATAAAGCTTCACAAACAAACTGACACTTTAGGTCACAAGTTCAAACAGCAATGTCATCAGATATAAAACAAATTTGTCCATTTTATGCGTTTTCATTCCGAAAACAAAAAAAAAATCAATGGGCAATTTTCTTTTTCATCTCATGCACATCGACAAGAAATTTTTTTTTGAAGAGCGTCTTTGAATAAAACCCGCACATGCCACAAATAGCATATTGTCAGCTTCTTATCAAGATAAAATTATTTGACAATTAATTAAATCATCAATGAAATTAAATGACAAGGACTTTTCAATATGAAAACGACCATTCATAATTGTGGCTGTCATGCGATGAAATGTGAAAATATGATAGGATCAAAAAAATTTTGGGTGGAAGTGGTTTGCTTTATCACTGGTTAGACTGATTTTTTTTTCGTCGAATATCAAATTTTAAGGCATTTTAAATTAAACTGAAATTTGAAGCTTTAAATGTGTGCTTGATGGTCAATATCGTACAGTTGGCTACCTAATTACCATTATAGCATCAATTGAATGCTTTGCATAATGAATAGTGTCTAATTAAAATTAATTAAATATTATTGGAAAAAAGAAGTCGATAAATTGTGGTAAATATGGAAATAAAAGAGCATTGAAGCTATCTATTATCCCAATTATTCCATTGAGGTGGCAACAACACAATTAATGCTATAAATTTTCCTCATCGTACTATTTCTAATTCAAATAGAATTTATAATTTCGTACATTCAATTGTGGTAAAAAATTTCAATTAAAAAAATATACAATAGTCCTCGTGAAATTGATCGAGGGACTTCAGCTAATAATTGAATTTTAACGGTTTAAGTGAATTAAAATAAAGTTCTCAAATAATGATATGTCGTAGAAATACACATATCAAATAAGAAACCTTACAATTTTACACAAACAACACCGCCAACAATCTTCATTAAGACTACAACAAAAAAATGCGTAAGCATTGAGTCATATAGCTGCAACATCTGTGTTTCGTCAATCAAATTGCCATCAGAGAAAACATAGAGACAGCAGGCATTTGAAGAGGGGAAAGAATTGTAAAATCTCATTTCATTTCATGTTGAAGAAAAAACAAGGCATAGACACGAAATTTTTATTCATCCAGTACAATGAAAAAATAATAAAAAATTTGGGTTTCCATGCCCAAAAATAAAATCGTTTTTGTTAAGTTTGTGTCAGGCACGTAGCCAGAGGAGGGGAATTCACATTCTTTAAGAGAACTTTCTTCATTTTGCTAGGGTTTTTATGACAAAAATCTTTAGTATTGTCATTTTATAAGTGAATAAATGTGTGTGCTACGTTAACGAAATATCGTGTAATATATTCACACATAATATGACTGTAAGTTATCGCAGGTTGTTCATGTATTTTAGTAAGAAATTTATTTTTTTTTGAGCAGAGAGACATTTTATGTTTAAAATAAGAATAATATTATATATTATATATATATATATATATATATATATAGTAGATTATATAGTTATATATATATTTAACTATATAATCAGGCCATTGTGTTCCTGTTGCCAACATCTGACACATTTTTAAATTTTGATTAGAAATTCAAATTGTGAACACTCATTACAAAGGTTTTTTATGCCGTTTTAAATGCCAGAGATTTGTTGTGCATTTAAATCGGCTTTTTCCTTTGACAAAAGTACAATAATAAATAATAATAATAATAATAATAATAAAAATTACTAAACTCTACCACAAGTCGCATCACCTTGCCCAAAATATTCATAAAAAATAATTCATTAAAACTTTTTCAATAAACTTAAATTAAAATCCAACTATGAAAATGAATTTAGCTTTTGATTGCGATAAAAAGAAAGTTCTTCTTTACTTGATCATTCAATATGAAGTTTTCTCATTAATTTTTCCTCATTTCCTATGAATTTTCATGCACCGATGTACTATTAATCAACTTATATAGTATAACTGTTAATTATTAAAGATAATTAAAAGTTACATGTAAGAAGTATGATGATGATAATGTTGGTCTTTATACACAATATATCATCCTCTATGACGTTATAGCATGTATCGAATAACATATGCTGGGCAACACGACTTCATTGGACAAACAAGTGATAATCTCAAGAGTAAAATTAATATTCTTACAGTTTTGGAGCTTTAATTGAGTTTAAAGCAAAAATGAAATAAAATTTTATGAACAACTTTATTTCTTTTTGTGGATATTTTAATTAGAGTTTCACATTGTAATTTAAGGCATTTCAAATTTTGATGAAAAAAAAGTGAAAATTTACATCTATTCAGACTACTCGTATCTAAGAATTTTTTCTTCTTCGTGCCGAGAGGTTTCATAGAAATTAAAAACTTTTTAAAATTCGTACAACAATTAGTAGATTCTTTTGGGTGGATTTTCCATTTAATCAAGAGGTGTTGTGTACTCTTAAATTAATGAGAAGTTTTTTGGGTTATTGAGCTGCTTCTAGTCTATCGAACTACAAAATATTAGGATTTTAATGGGATTAAAAAGTTTAAATTATTCATTCGAAAAATCTTTGTGGTGCTTTAAAATGCGCATATCTTTTAATAAAACCGCTTAATTATTTTTTTAATGAGAAAATCATGAAAAGTTAAAAAAAATCAAATTTTAAAAAAGTTACAACCCAGATAAAAAGATTAGATGCTACGAGAACTCATATCAGAAGTCTTTTAATCGTGAAATGACATAAAAAGAAGAATAAACACGAAGATTTTCAAGACTTCAAAGCTGAAATTAATTTAAAAATTTAAATGGAATTGAGAAAACGTGTAACGATGTTATTTTTACATAATTTTAATTTGTGCATTGAAGTTTTGAATTGTCTTTGACATAAAAGAAAAGAATCTTTTTAAATTAAATAAAAATACTTATTTATCGCCCAAATTACATCAAGAATGGCAATTAAAACTCTAATTGAGTGAGCAGGTTGTTTTTTGTGATGGAATCTGATTTTATTATTTTTATCAGAATTGAAATAAAGTCTCCAACTTTAGGTTTTTCTAAATTATTTGCATTTATTTTTTAAAATTAAATAGTAAATAATTGGTGATAAAGGAGGCAGCATGGAAGTCGTAGCACATTACTCAATTAATTTTGTAATTATTAATTTGTAGTTCTAAGGTCTACAAGCTAATTATGTGCAGAGAGAATCTCGCATTCGTTAAGAGAATTCTGGTAATGAGACAAATCAATTGAAATAAGCTGTAGATAAAAAGAAGATTTAATTTGCTTCAATTAAACCAAAATAAATTTAAATCTAAGAAAAAGAAAAAATTACAAAAGTTCTCGTGTTATTGATCGAAAGACTTTAGCGCATTTTTGACGCAACAATAAGTATTTTTTAGCAACAAAATGCGAGTCAATAATCAAATAGCTCCATGTCAGAGAATGGAAAAATACCAGTGACGTAAAAGTTTACATCAACATTTTTCGCGAATTTTACTCTTTTCTCATGAGAACTTAAAGCTCTTTTTTGGTCCATATCGCAAATTATAAACGACACTTAAATGATAATACCTTAATTTGATGAAAGATTTTTTTAAAGTCTTCAAAGACATATTCCCAATTCTAGTTAAATATTCAACTTCATATAAAAATCTTGTCAACTCTTTTTCACTCTCAAAAAAATTTACTTCAAAATGAAATTTAATTTCCACAGAGTCTTCGAGTACCAGACGCAATAGATACTTAAAATGTCTAGAAGACACCCCAGAACATCTCGTATAAAGGCAAAAAAGGCAATTCTAAAGTTTATTTCATTTTAATCAATTTTTCTTCTTTTTCTCTCACAAAAAATTTATTCTCGCATTCTCTCCAGTTCACTCGGAAGTGTGTCAAATTTCCGTCTCTTGAGCAAGCTTTAAGGGATATTATATAGCAATGCTCAAATGTATACGTATAAAGAAGGAGTTTTCGTCGCATAAAAGACGAAGAGAATATTTAATGCATGTAATATAATCTTGGAGTCATTTTTTATGTCATCCGAACAACGAAAAATCTACTTTCAACTTATACTGACACCCACACATACGTTTACCATACATGCTTCAAGAGATATATCTTAAATGCTCTAGAGACACACTTTTTTTCCTTTTGATACATATCAACGCTTGATAAATGCATGTCATTAAATTTTCTTCCCAAGACTTTTCTAAACGCCAAATTTTGAAAAATTGATATTGAAAAATATTTCTTATTTTTTTGGCATTTGCCGTATTTGTGTTATCGAGATTGTTAGCCCTCACATCTCTCGCTTTGCTGTGCTGTTAAATAGATGTAGAAATCGTAAAATTTAATGGCTTTTTAAGAACTTTCCAACATAATTATGATTTAAAGATATTTCAATATAAATGGATATTATTCCACTTTTATGAATCTTTTCATGCTTTTTGACATTCCATTGTCGGTGTTATGGATAATTTTTTAGACGTAATTGAAAAAAAAATTTCGCTTGACATTTTGAAAGGTTTTTTAATGGAAACTTTATGAAAAATTCATTTTACTAAAATTAGCTGTGATGAGGTTTTTTTTTTTGTCTTGGTTGGACACATTAAAATCTTTCGGCATGTTTCACTAAAGTGGATTATCCTCGATTTCGGATCATCCATTTCAGTTTTTTGTAAATATCTTAAACTTTATGGGAGGTGTGGTATTTCTAATTTTGGATTATAAAAGAGTGAAGTATGCCTGAAATTTCTGTACACTTTAAACTTTTACTTTTCATTAAGAAGTATTAATTATTCAATTTTCTAGCCAAATCTAGAAGATTAACTTCAATTTTTGCTATAATTCTCATAACTAATGAAGATATAAAAATTCTTAGTATATGTTAATTTAAGTAGCAAAGTACTTTAAGGAGATCACACTTTAGATCTCTTAATAACCTTAAGCGTCTGGAGATATTTCCGAAAAACTGAAGTGGATAATCCGAAATCGAGGATAATCCACTTTAGTGAAACAGGCCGTTTATGTTAGAAAAAAAAAATCACTGAAGATTGTTAATCCAGAAAAGATTTTTAATCAACTGTTTAGTGAATATAAAATTTCAATTAAGAATTTTTTGTTTGATTTCATGTTAGAACTAAACCAAAGTCTTCATTATTGTTTACTCTAGAAAAATGGGAAATTGGTGTGGATCGTGCTTTGGAGTAAGTGCAAATTCAAGTAATATCACACCTGATGCTGGAACTGTAAGACGTCAAATGTTAGAAGCAGCTGAACAACGACAGGAAAATCAACAAAACAGAGGTATCAAAAATCAAGACAAGATTAAAAGAATGCAACAAAAAGCAGTTGACATTGAAAGATTGGAATTTGAATATGCCATTGCAGCAAGGAATCGACCAGTATTGAAATGGACACCGAATTAAAATTTTTGGATGATTTGATGATGTTTAAGATCCAAATTAGTTTTGTTTGTTTATGGAAACTTCAATTTCTTTAATGCAAGTCAAGTTTAAAGAAAAATTCAAGTTTACAATACAATAGTTTAATAAATATTTCCATTTTATTTATGGAAAGAATATTTTGAAAATTTTACTCGAAAGAGTCACTTAATTAAAATCCCGCTTTCACATAAATTATTTTTATTGGCTTTAAAGCTTTTGTGGTCACTTAAGCAATTTAATTTTAATATCACCTGTTGTCATCGTTAGGCACTTTTCTCAATGATGGTTAATTCATATTAAATCAAGCTTTCAAATTTTAATCATGTCCAACCCTGCTGCCTGCAGCCTGAGCTTTATAAATTTTCAATTTATTGTTGACGAGAAAATGAGGGAGAAAATTCTTTTACAACTAATCAGCATTTTTACGGCTTAATATTTTTTTTTTCTCTCGTGTGCCTGCATGAAAATCTGTTGCAGGAACTTTTTCCCATTCAATCAGCACAAAATAGCGAAGGCAGCAGATGATGACAGCGGAAAATTATTATTTTTACTATTAATAAACATACATGGGAATGAAATGGAATTATTTTCCATTCCATTTGCTTAACAATCGCATTTGTCTGATGCAATGAATACAATTATGTTTGATTTGTCATTCGTTTTAATCAATGGTTCTTTATAGCACTCAAAGCATAAACATAAAAATGTTTTATAGCAATATTCAGATAAAGAACTTACAGAAGTTAAATGAACAAAGCTCAGCTCAGAATTAAACAATATTTATGCTCTAAATTCACAACTTCTCCCATACAATAATTCAAAAATCAACTTGTAAAATAGTTTTTATTCATAAGAATTATTAACCTTTTATTTATAAAAAAAAAACTCACTGTAATCGCCGACGTACATATGCTGTAATTGCAATTTCTTCATAATTTATGAATGGGCTTAATGAAAAAGTACTTAAAGCGCAATAATTTTTTAAAGCTTTTACTATTCATTCACTATCATTTATCATTTATTCGTAGAAATTAAAGCTTTCACTGCAATCATATTTCGCCACTTTAATCTTCAAGAGCTTCCATCGTGCATTAAAAAATATATTTTATAGATAAAATTTTTTCTCACATCACATTTTTCATTCACTTTTCCCGTTTATTTTCCTTTTGTTTAACTTCGCTTTTTTTTCACGTCTATATCTCACCGAGTTTCAGCAACTACTAAGTCTCGCTCAGTCAAAATAACTTTCTTATCTCAAAAAAAAAAATTTGTTGAGAAAATTCAGACAATTTTCATGTGTTTGTGATGGAAAATGTGAATGAAAGTTCCAAAAATGAGCTTTTACGGAGCTTTTGAGTGAAGTAAATATAGGAAATGAGAAGTTTTCACTAATACTATTGCAACTTTACTCTCAGGAATTCTCTCAATCGAAAAATATTTTATTTTTATGTGAAAAACCTGTAGAGTGTACTGAGAAACTTCTGTTGCTCTTTACAATAAAAGATGAATTGTTGTTGTTATTTCTGTTGCTTCTCCCATACCATCACTCTTGAATTTTGTACGTATGTACATCATTTTATTTTAAACATCCCTCGTAGACTTTCCCTCCTTCATATTTATTCCTTGTTGTTTTCTTTTATGCTATTATGAAATAATTAACAAAAGCTCAGGAGAAATAAAACGAGGAATTGAATAGATTTCTGATACGTCGACTGATGTTTAATCCGTGAATATTCTTTTCTTGTTGTTCGTGCTGATTTTGAGTTCAATGAAATTTATTGACCTATATAATGTTTTCGGATTTGCATCGGAGCTTTAAATTTGATTCATCTCAAATAATGCTTGACTTTTTTGATAATTTTATTTAATATTTTTTAAAGTGGCTTCTATTTTGAAGTTATGCAGATGAGCTATGCAATTCTCAATTCTCTTTTACAGTTGGATATAATAAGAGTATTAGAAAACATTATTAACATGTAGCAAACTGATAATCGTGGTACTTGAAAAGTTTCTGCATAATTTCATAAAAATGTATTAATCACAAACATAAATACTAATAATGAACTCCCATTAAGGAGAGTAGCAATAAAGCGACGGGCAATTAGATCGAGAATTCGTTCGTACCAAGAAATAATAGCTTGTTCAGGATTACGAGTATCCCCTATGCATCCAGGTATTCCGTGTGTTGTGAAGAATAAATTTTGTAATGAGTACACTTGTTATCTCTTCTTCTCTTCCTGCATTGTAAAAATCTGTTCATCCAAAGCCCGAACCGGAGGAAGCTATTGCAAGTAAATTTAGCAGGAAAGAAGAATGAAAATAAAACAAATTTCAGTTCCCATCAACCTTCCCGTATTTTTCAATGAAATGAACAGAAATATAAGTTTTTCCTTTCTTTCCTTTTTTTGAAAAATGAGGTCTCACAGGTGAGATGCACGCGCATGCGACTGAAAAAAATGTACGAAGTAAAATAAAAGTTTGTTTCAATTGATCTTTGATGTGTTTGCTGTTAAAGTGAAAAAGAAATTTATTACAAAATGAATTTTCAATTTTCTCTTCCTTTTTCCTTTCTTTTCTGAATGTTCTATTACGCTAGAACCGATAGCAAAAAAGTACAGTAAAAGCGCATTTTGAATAAAAACTTTAGACAGTCCACATAAATGTATATAGTGGCACTATCAAAACGTCAACTTGGTAGCCTGATGGGCATTGCAGCTGATTAAATAAGTTGTAGGTGCTAACCCAACTCACTTTATTTATTGACTTCGTAAGCCTTGAGATACAATTTCGATCCATTGTCTCTCTTTGAGGCTGGCTCCTATTATAATAGGCGGACCAATAAAAGTTAAGCTTACAATAATTCATTTTGCCTAATTTTCTTAAACATGCACTAAAAAGATGAAGAAAATGAAAATTTATCGATTGAAAGACGTTGTAATAAAGTAAGGATAGGAGCAGCATGCCTTCCATTAATTTTTTTATTTTGTATACTGCACAGTAGGTATTCAATTTATTTGCTTTTTTCTCGCTTTCTTAAAATTCCGATTCCTGTATAAACAAGATTTATGAAAAATGTAAAAATTAAAATATGAAATTTCAAGCTTGAACATCCATGGTAATCAAAGGTTTGGTTTATCTGTGTATCTTGAAGTAAAATTTTGTTACGCAAATAGATCGTATCTCAAAAGGAGAACTTCCGACCGAGATACTTTTCTCTTATTCAATGATTGAAAGCATGCTGATTTTCATTCTGCACTTCATGCCGCTATTGCTCTTATTTTTCATTCAATTGTCTACTTGACAAGACAGGATGTAGAGGACAGTGAGCAATGAGATGCTATTAACTGTCATGTTCAACACGGACTTATTTTATTTCGGTCCTACTTCCGGTATTTCACTTAAAATATTTACATTTGAGTCTCTCATCTCAAGCTGCTTGCTGATGCTCTTAGTCATTTTGATCAATTTCTTGTGGAGTGAAGGAAATTACTTGAAATTTTGTTTTAATTGCTGCAAATTTTATCTTAATATTTTTCTACTGACGTCGTCAATTTTTACATGACTTAAAAAGCTATAAATGGACCATTCAATTTTCTTGGTTCTAAAATAAACAATCTTAATGAAATGTTTACGTCCTCTGTAAATAAATTCTTATTGCGGTCTTCAAAATACGTCACAAAATATGAAATGAATAATATTCTCAAGAATTTGTAATATTCTTTCTGTGTTACCAACATTCACGTCAGTTACTTTTTCTTACTGCTATTTCTATTTCAATTAAATATCAAATGACGAGAAATGATGGATGCTCATGCGATGAATCTTATCATTGACATTTTCATTTGTGTGTTATATGTAAATATCAATAAGCATCAATGACACACCACTAATAGAATTATGTCTCAATTGAGATTTATACACGAATGAATTGTCAAAAAAGCCATTTAGATATTTACATTCAAACGGCATTTACACCTAGTATTCTGTATTTTATTCCTGATTTATCTTGAAAAAATGAACAGCATGCGAATTACCAATTGTTTCTTCTTCCAGAAAATTTTAAGCTCTTCCAAATTATTCCGATACAAAACCTAAAAGTCAAGGTAGTTGCTTACCTTTTTCAACTCTTCCAAGAAGTAACCGATTTTTAATATACTTTTAAAAGTTACAAATTGTCACTATTACTTATAATGCGTTCCAACTTGTTCTCCTTAAAAAGTACTTTAAAAAGTAAAAGCAAATCATTTCAACAATTCAATTAAATGAAGCACAAAAATCAATGCATCACGTTCATTTTTAATTGCATTCAAGTTTCAGTTGATTCTTACTCAACTTTATCCTCAAATAAATGAAAGAGTATTAAGATAAAGAAAATTGTCTTTTATTGAACAAAAAAAAATCTTATTATTTATTTCTGTAAAATATTATGAGCTTTCTGCTATAAACATGCACTAAAAAAATCAATTTTTAATCTTTATTGCTTGATATCGAGCAAATATTTTTTTACAAAGACAGAAGCTTTCTAAATTGGACGAACGATGGGAGCCGAAATTCTAGTGTCCATCAAGTAGAACGGTGACCTAACGAGTTGAGTGATGTACTATATATGGGTTTTTTGTGCTATTTTGTGAAAGCAGAAAAACAACGTCTTTGAATTTTGTGAAGATTCCAGGTCCGAGATATGAGCATTTGAAAACGGAACTAGGTCCGATTTTTCACATTCTTACTTTTTCAACTTTATCTCAAGCAAGACTAAACGAAAATTGTTGAAACTTTGCCTGTTTTATGTGCAATTGACCCTTAATCAAATAAATTTAACAAAAATATTTTAGGTTCCATAGCTGTAAAGATATGGCGATTCTAAAATGCAACCTAGTGCTAAATTAGCTATTTTTTTATATTTTTTACTGTAAATCTGGTAAATCTTGATAAAGAGTGATCAAACTTGGCCAGTAATTTGTGCAAATGTTCCTCAATCAAATAAATTTAACAAAAAAATTTTATGTCATATAGTTGTATAGATATAGCCATTTTGCGTTCCAGCCTAGTGCAAAACTAGCTTTTCGTTCTTACATTTTCAACTGTAAATCCGGTAAATTTTGATTAAGAATGTTCAAACTTGGCCAGTAATTTGTGCAATTGGCCCTTAAT